CTAGAGGTCTTTATTAGCAGAGAGATGAAGGTCCTAGAAAAGCTGAGAACAGGTGGCGAGTGTTGGCACCACCGGCATGCAAGCCAGAGCACTGCCAGACCAGCAGGTGCATCGGGCAAGGGCGGTCACAGGAGGTTGGTCAGAGTGTCCCCAGAGGTGTGACAGCAGCGGGTTCAGTCTCCAGGGGTGAGGTGGACCGCCACCACACGCAAAGCCCCCAGGAGCCTTTCCAGGTGGTCTCATCCGCTGATTCAGGGCTGGGCGCTGGGGGCCCAGGACAGGGAGCCCTGAACACGGTGCCTGCTGTCGCCCTGTCTTCTGGGCTTGGAGGGACTCCGAGGCCCCAGCGGGTGAGCAGGGCCATGGGCCCCCGTGTAGACTGCAGCTCCCTTCCCGCTGGGGGGTGTGGCAGGGAGCCCTTCCCATGGGACTGAGCCCCCGAGTCCTTGGGGTCTCAGAGCAGATCGAGGTCGGGGGGAGGGTCTGCTCCTGCTTCCAGCTCAGGTCGGCACTTCCAGTCCTCGGAGGGCCCTCGGTGGGCACGCGGTGGGCTCACCCAGAACCCCGTGGCTGTCCTGTGTCACTGGGCATCCCGTGACGTGGAGGAGGGTGAGCAGGTTAGAGGTCGACAGCACACTTACGCTTCCTTTCTGGGAAATTCCTTGGGTTTCCTTTGCCCACTTTGAATTGGGCTGCTTTAACTGGGAGGCTTTCTTTCTTACTGATGCATAGAAACTTTTAAAATAATCTATAGACAGGGCTTTGCTGGTGACTCAGATGGTAAAGAGTCCGCCTGCAATGCAGGAGACCTGCCTGGGTTTGAACCCTGGGTTGGGAAGATCCCCTGGAGAAGGGAATGGCAACCCACTCCAGTATTCTCGCCTGGAGAATCCCATGGACAGAGGAGCCTGGCAGGCTACAGCCCATGGGGTCTCAAAGAGTTGGACATAACCGAGCGACTAAGCAGAGACAGGATTATTTCTTTATATGCAGAGCATATTTGCCAAGTCGTGGCTCTCTTTTTTTTTTTTCTTTTTGCCATGCCACCTGGCTTGCGGGATCTCAGTTCCCCAACCAGGAACTGAACTTGGGCCGTAGCAATGACAGAAAGTGAAGAGGAGCTAAAGAGCCTCTTGATGAGGTTGAAAGAGGAGAGTGAAAAGCTGGCTTCAAACTCAGCATTCGAAAAATGTTGATCTTAATCATGGCATCAGTCCCATCATTTCATGGCAAGCTGAAGGGGGAAAAGTGGAAGCAGTGACAGATTTTATTTTGTTGGGCTCCAAAATCATCACACAGTGACTGCAGCCATGAAATTAAAACACGATTGTTCCTTGGAAGAGAAGCTGTGACAAACCTAGTGAAAAATAAAAGTGAAAGTGAAAGCCACTCAGTTGTGTCTGGTTCTTTGTGACCCCATGGAGTGTCCCTGGAATTCTCCAGGCCAGAGTACTGGAGTGGGTAGCCTTTCCCTTCTCCAGGGGATCTTCCCGACCCAGGAATCAAACCGGGGTCTCCATTGCAGGTGGATTCTCTACCAGCTAAGCTATCAGGGACAAACCTAGACAGTGTATCAAAAAGCAGAGGCATCACTTTTCCTGACAAAGGTCCATCTAGTCAAAGCTATGGTTTTTCCAGTAGTCACGTATGGATGTGAGAGTTGGACCATAAAGAAGGCTGAGCGCTGAAGAATTGATGCTTCCTAATTGTGCTGGAGAAGATTCTTGAGAGTCCCCTGGACTGCAAGGAGGTCAAACCAGTCAATCCTAAAGGAAAGCAACCCTGAATATTCATTGGAAGGACTGATGCTGAAGCTCCAGTACTTTGGCCACCTGATGTGAAGGGCTTACTCACTGGAAAAGACCCTGATGCTGGGAAAGATTGAAGACAAGAGAAGGGGACGACAGGATGGTTGGATGGCATCACCGACTCAATGGACATGAGTTTGAGCAAACTCCCGGGATGGTGAAGGACAGGGAAGCCTGTCGTGCTGCGGTCCATGGGGTCGCAAAGAGGGCATGACTTAGCGACTGAACAGCAACAGCAATGAATGCCCGGAATCCTAACCGCTAGGCCACCAGGGAACTCTGGCTTTTTTTTTTTTAACTGTTACTCTTGGTATTTGGAATATAACCCCTTCTCTTGGTGTTTTTAATTGCTGTTTTCCTGGTTAGAGATGAATGCAGCATATTTCCATGTCTTTGTTGGTCATCTTATTTTTCTTTTGTGAAATGTCTCTTCAAGTGTTCTGCTTCTTTTCCTTTAAAAGATATATTCTGTATATTAGTTATCTTATGCCTCCAGAGCTTCTGCACTCTCTTGATGGAGCTGTGATGAGCAGAGGTTCTAGACTTCTTGACTCCCTGTCCACCTCAGCCCCTCTCACTGAGGACCCAGGCTCAGCACCAGCTCTTGGGGGAGGCCCCCCAACCCACCTGTGCAGCAGGATAGCCGGGAACCAGCCACAGGGTTTGCCTCAGCACCGAGGGGGCCGATGGGCTCCCTGTGGCCCCTCCATCCAGACTCTTGGGGCTGCTGGGCTGAAGTCCCGGGCCCCAAGCTGGGCTGGGGAGGGGCTATGAATGCTGAGAGCGAGTCTGCAGTCACTGCCTGGTGTCCCGGGGTCTGTGGCCTGGGTCCCCGGGACAGTCGGGGCAGCAGGAAGGTGCCCTGGGTAAGCTGTTCTCCCCCACAGAGCCCTGGAGAGACCCTGGAGGTAACGGGGGTCCCAGCCAGAGAAGGGATCTGCAGGGGCTGGGTGGTCTCCCTGGAGGAGCCCAGGGCTGGAATGGAGGTCCACTGTGAACCCACGTGGTCACCTAGAACCTGGGGGGCTGGAGTGGAGCAGGCCTGGGTAAAGATTTTTGCTTGCTTTTTCTGGGCATCCCCAAGTCCTCCGAGAACACCCTGCTTGACACTCAAGCTTCCCCTGACTTCACCGGGCCTGAACGTGGCCCTGGTCAGCCGGCTGCCCTGGGGAACTCCTCCCCTGGAGGCCCCAGCCAAGCCCTTCAAGCCCCAGGGGGGTGAGGCTGGCGGTAGGGCGGTGGGCTGAGGTCCTGGTCTGCATGTGCACCTGTGTGCACCCAGCCCAGCCAGCACGCCCGTCTGGCATCGGGGACATAGCCCTGCCCAGCCCACAGGAAGCCATAGCTCGCCAATCTCACAAGAAAATGCTGCGATTCCTGAGATGCCCACCCATCAGGGGGCTCAGCTGCCAAGGGTCCTGACCTGAACTTGAGCCCCCAGAGGGAAAAGGTACCTTTGAGACCGTTGGTCTGGACTGGGGTGAAGACGAGGTGGGAATGTTGTGGGGGTGCCTGCTTTGCGGTCGTGTGGACTCCTGCCTGGCGACCGAGCCCGTGTCCACGGTCTGCCTGCTCTGCTTTTAATAAGCGCTTGATATGATTCCATCTCCTTTCGTCTCCCAGCTCCTGAACGCACTTCTCTCTGAGCTTCTGGGTGGTTGCCCTGAGTCTGTTCACACCTGCTCCATGACCATCCATAAATGCTCAGCTCTGGGGGTAGGCAGACAGGCACCTCCGGGCCAGCGTCCCCAGGCCATGTCACGTCATGAGCCACAACAGCCCGCTTGTCACTGGTGCCGTGTTGTGACCAGCTTTCTACAGGAATTAAACAAAAAATCAGAGGTGTCTCTCTCTCATTTTATATGTCTGAAACCCTGTCAAAACATTGACAAATGTCTTCTGGATCCAGTCTCAGGCCTTTGCTGAAGCCTCTGCACGTGGCCACGGGTGTGAGAGTGTGTCTGGGTGTGACAGCATCTGGGTGTGAGAGTGCGTCTGGGTGTGTGTCTGAGTGTGTCCAGGTGTGAGTGTGTCTGGGTGTGACAATACATCTGGGTGAGTGTGAGTGTGTCTGGGTGTGACAGTGTCTGGGTGTGAGAGTGCATCTGGGTGTGAGTACATCTGGGTGTATGTGTGAGTGTGTCTGGGTGTGACAGTGTCTGGGTGTGAGTGCATCTGGGTGAGTGTGAGTGTCTGGGTGTGAGTGTGTCTGAGTGTGAGTGTGTCCGGGTGTGAGAGTGTGTCTGGGTGTGACAGCGTCTGGGTGTGAGTGCATCTGGCCCAGAGGAGACCCCATTCCTCACCGCCCGTCCTGTGCAGCCACACTCCAGCAGACACCTCCAAGGATCCCAGTCGGATGTTGTCTTCCCAGTGGGGGGTTCGAGGGGCTGCAACCCCACCTGGATGGAGACCCCGCTCTAGCGGCCAAGAAGGGCCCCTCGGTCTCCACTCCTGCAGGGGCCTCCTCCCCTTGGGGAGCTGGCATGTGGGTGCCAGGAGAGGTGGCAGTTTGCAGAAGGGGACGTCACTGGCAGGACCCTGGGAGCTACTGACACCCTGCTGGGACGGGCCCTGTGGCCCAAAGGGCACCCAAGCCCACGTCAATGGCCTGTCACCCCATTGAGGGCCCCTCGAGTTTCCCCACCTTGATCAGACACCCTTCCTGACCCCCCACAGCCCACACTGTCCCAGCAGCTCCCCCAACCCTGGGCATGGAGACCCTCTCTGGGTGGGAGGGTCCCAGGCAGCCAGTGGGGGGTGAGCTGGACGTGCAGCCTTGACCTGGGAAGGGGAGGCCACCCTGAGTCATGTCCTTCCCAGGGGGCAGGCCTCTCCAGCCGCTGAGTGGCCTGGAGCCACACCCACCCTGGGGGCTGGGTTGGTCCTTCCCCTGCCAGACTTGGGGGTACTCTGTAGGAGCAAGGGCCCCCAGCTGAGAACCAACAGGGGTGTCTTTGTGCTGGGGAGGTGCACAGACCTGTCCTGGGCTCGGCCGGGCTCCAGGGAGCCCTCCTGGAACCCCTGCCCCCCGCTGACTTGCTTCCTGCTTTTGGGGAGAACCGGGGCCAGCTGCATTTCCTTGGGCTGGGGCTTTCCTGTGGGGTCCCTGGGGTTGTTCCTAACCCTTGGGCAGCTGGGGCAGACCCAAGCCCAGAGCATGCAACCACGGAGAGAATGCCTCATGAGGGGACCTCCTGTCTGCAGAATGCATCCATTTAATGGAAGTTTCCAGCACTGAGCGTGCAAACCTGTCAGCAACAGTCACAAAGGAACCGAGGTGATGCCCAGAGTCCCTCCCTTGATAAGGAGAAGTCTCCGTCCTGGAGACGTGGGCCAGCAGCCCAGCGGCTGCATTGTGCTTCAGATTTCTCATTTTAAAGGGCGTCAGATGGTGCGGCTGCAAAAGTTCAGCATAAAATTGAGGAAAAGGCAGTCGTCCGAGTCTGTTCCACAAAGACACGGGCCACGGGATCCCCAGTGTGTGGCAGGGCCCCGCCCTGATGCTTCTTCAGAGCCCGCCCTGCTGCGGCCAGGGGCTTGGCTAAGCTGAAGACCCTCTTGTTTTCCATTTCCTTCTCAAATAAGCATACAGGGGAGCTGGGTGAGAAGGGCGGCCCTCCACCCCATGGCTTGGCTGAGAGCCACGGGCAAGACTGGTCCACGGCTGTGGAAACATGGCAAGTTCGGGCTGCAGCATCCCTCTCCTGTCGTGGTGCAAGCCCCGGCCCTGGCCCCTGCCCAATGCACCCCATCCTCACCCTGCGGTCTAGCCCGGCTCCCGTCCCTCCGCCGTGGCCAGATCCGGTCACGAGTTGCGGTGCGTTTGTGCGAAGGATCAGGGTTGTATAGATTCCTAAAAACAGGTTAAAAAGGCTTCCTGCCGGCGTCCAGCAGTGCCCAGGGCAGCCCCAGCCCTCACCCGGCTAAGGTCCGCTCCCTCTGGCCCAGTCCTGGGAGCTTCTTGGAGTCGGGCGCCGGGCAGGGCCCTGCACTCATGCATCACGGGCTTGCGGACTCCGCAAGGCGGTCAGAGCTGCGTCTCGTCCCGCGTCTCAGGGTTGCAGGAGGCCAGCTTGTTGCTGCAGCTGCTCTTCCGGCTCTGGGAGCTGCTGGCCACGTGGGCCAGGGGGTCCGAGCGGATGAGATATCTGTGGGGGGAGGAGGGCCCTGACATCGCGCTCTGCCCGGAGGCCAGGCTGGACACCCGCGTGGGTGTGCGGTGCCCGTGCGCGTGGCGAAGGGCAGGTGTCTGCGCTTGCCTGGGGACGCGGCACTTACACGATGTCGTTGGGCTCCAGCCGCGTGTCGGGCGGGGGGTTGATGAGCACGTAGGAGAGGGTGTTCTGGTGGTCATTCATCTCGTCTGCGGAGGAGACAGGGCCCGGCGGGCGGCCACCCCTCAGCCCCTGCCCACCTCGAGGAGCTGGCAGCTCCGGTTAGCTGCAGAATCCTCCCGGCCGTCCCGCCCGAGCCCCGTCCTGGGGAACCCAGCCTGGCCGGTCCTCCCTGACCCACGTGGACCTCAGCCCAGCTTGGCACGGGCAGGGGGCGGCCACCACTCCTGCCCGTCCCTGTAGCTTGTTCAGCTGAGTCACCAGCATCTTAGGAGGCGGTGACCCTGACTGGAGCACACCTGTGCACATCTCCCCATCTCCCCGTGTGCACACCCAGCACACACACCCAGCCCAGGCTCATTCTCCCCTCCCCCCAGCACCCCTGCCCCATACAGGCCACACCCAATCCCCTCCTCAACTGTCAACCCTGGACTTGCCCTCCGTTTCCCAAAACCTGTCCCGCAGCATCAGCCCAGAGTCCAACCGGCTCACCTTGCCGGAGGTCCCCTCAGGCACACACAGGGTCCGGCCACGGGTACAGCCAGCCCCGTGTCCGGACTGGGGGTGGCCCCGGGATGTGACCCGCAGGGGTGTGAACCGGTTCTAGAGAAACCCCGGTCACCGTACAGATGTCTCTCTGGCCAACTGTGGGGTCGGGCTGGCCGCTGTTCGGCAGTGGCCCCGTGTTCAGTGAGTGGCAGGAGGTGGGCAGCTGGTGGCCTCGGTTTACACATCTGGGGATGCCCAAAGGCACCTCCTGAGCCAGGAGGACTGGACACTGCAGGGGACCGCCCTGTGAGGGGGTGGGTAGGGCCCTGGGCGACCTCTGTCCCGGCTCCTCCCACCTCCTTCTCTCTGCACTGGCCGCTCCCATCCGGGGAGGGCTCCCTGGCCACGGGGTCAGGTACTCAGGGAAGGTGGGGCAGCGGTTCACTTCTCTGAACTGGCAAGTTCAGGGCCGAATCTGACTCTGGATTCGCGATCCCCATGGCATGCTTCAGGGGACAGCTGCGGGTGGGGGTGGGTGCAGGCCGAACAGGGGGCGGGGCCTACAGACATCACCTGGCCCAGGCTGGTGTACCCGCACGGAAGGGGACGGCCTGACCCCCGCCCCTCCCACCGCGCAGGGTCACGGCTTGGCTCACGGAGGCGGCGCATGTCCAGGGAGGGCAGCAAAGAGCGGAGCTGGGGCAGCGGAGGTGCGGGCGGGAGCGGGAGGCTTTGGGGGACCCTGCACCCCTGAGCACAGCCATCAAGAACAAGGAAAACAGAGAGGCTGGCATGGGATGGGGCCACCTGTCCATCTCACCCAGGGGCGGGGCCGCAGAGGGCGGGCATGGCCCCTGCCTCACTGGACCCTCCCCACCCAGCCTGGGCCCTGCCTCTGCCTGGGGCAGGTAGGCTACGGGCGTTACCAGCCCAAGCCGGGCCCAGCTTTGTGCTTCTGGGGGTGCTGGGCTGAGGGGTGGCTGGGGGAGGCACATGGGGTCCGGCTGTAGCGCCCGGGGACTGGGTGACCCACGAGGCCATGACCCCGACTTCCCAGACGTGGCGGCCTCTCTGCGCCTGCTGTGCTCTGGGGAGGGCCTGGCCCATGACCAAGGGCAGAGCCCCCCGGCCTCCGCACCTGGCATTCAGCCTCCGTAGGGGCTCCTCCCTGGACCCGCAGACCGGACTCTCGCCAGCCCCTGGGGGTCCACACCACTCCTCTGGAGCCCCTGCCCGAGAACTGTGAACTGGGGGCAGCTGGACCCGTCCCCCCAGGGGTGACCGTGCGGAAGGGGCTGTGTCTACATGTCACGGCTGGGGGCGTCTCCTCCTCATCTGCCCGCACCTGGGGGGGCGCCTTGTGGGGGTGTCCCCCTGAGGACCGCCCTGCAGCCCCCTGGAACCAACCTCTCCTCTGGTTTTAGGTCCTGGCCCAGGCACCTGTCGACGTCCACACACCAGGGGGAGGGGCTCAGTAAACACCACCCAGTGACCCTGTGGGTGCGGCCACCCTGCCCGTGAGCCTTGGCGAGAAGTGGGGTGCAGCCGGCCACAGGGAGGTGATGACACAGCCCTCCTGCTCGTGGCAGCCCCAGGCTCAGACTCGCGCTGGCCTAGTGGGGGCGCTGCTGTGAACACGGTCGTGGGTGCAAGTGAGGAAAAACGCAGGGACCCGGGGCGGGGGGTGGGGTGTGGTCAGGGCTCTGCCTCCTGGGCAGCCCTGCAGCTCCTCCTCGGTGCACCCCAGAGCTTCTCAATCCTGAGTCTTGTCTGCACCGGCCGTCCTCAGAAACCAGCCCACCTGAGCTAACACCCACCTGGGCTCAGGAGGCCTGCACAGCTCTGAGCCTGGGGAGCCCCCAGGTAAAGGGGTCCCAGCAGTGAGGTCAGGGGGCTGGACTCTGCTCTGACCTCTGCTGGGGTCTTGGGGAGGGTCTGGGGCCTGCGGGGTGTCTTCTTAGAAGATACAGGGGCTCAAGCAGCACCTGAGTGCCTGGATGAGAACGTGGTATAGTCAGACTTTGTCTCAACTGAAGAGGCCCCCCTCGTGAAGCCCCAGCTGGGGAGTGGAGGTCAACCGTCCACCTGACTTGGGTGGCCCTTGAAGGCTCAGGGTGTGGCAGACCCCAAGGCCCCAGGCACCAGCTCAGGTCTCACTGTGCTCCACCACGCCGGGGGCGTGGGTACCCTGGCCTGGGTACCCTCCATCCCAGTGTTTCTCGAGAGCTGGGTGGGCTCCCAGGGGCCGGCCGATGGCTGCCTGCATGTCCAGGGCAGGGCTTATCTCAGACAACAAAGTGGGCATAAGGGCTGGGGTGCAGGGCGCCATCCTGAAGTCAGCAGTCGGTGGGGAGAAAGTTAGGGTCCCTGCAGTGGGGCAGCCTGGGAGCTCGTGGGGCCCTGCCTGCAGGGACCCACTCTTGTGTCTTGCCCTGTCTGCCTGCCTGGCTGGGGCGGGCGGCCACCGGGTGGACCGTCGGGAAGGGTTGGCACGCCCCCTATGCCAGACTCCGGCCGCCGGAGCAGAATTACCTTGCAAATATCCCAGGTTTACCCGATTCATGACATCACTGGCTGTTAAATTTGCTACATCCTCTATGGAACACACAGGGAGAGGGACAGACAGAAACAGAGAGAGAGATTGAGGTCAGCAAGCAGCGTGGAGGAGGCGGCCAGCATAGCGGGGGGCGGGAGGTGCACGCAGGCTGCAGGCAGCCCGTCTGTCCCAGAAGAGGAGTCGGCTCTTTGGCTGCCAAGCTCTGGTGGGGGCGGGCGGGGCGGGGAGGCCCAGGGGAGCCCCCTGCTCTGGGGCTCAGCCAGGCTGGAGTGTCCGTCTGCCAGGGTGTGACATGGGGCCGTGAAACAGGACCCCCACTGGGAGCCTGAGCAACCAGCACACACCCGGGACGGGGGTGACAGCACCTGCCCGGGGAGAGGGCAGAGTGGAGATGCACCGTGCGGCAGCGGTGTGGCCGGGAGGGGCTGGGCGCCTCTCCCGGGTGGCGATCTCCTTGGGCCCAGCGTACAGCCAGACCCAAGAGACCCTTGGGCAGCTCTGGGTGAAGCCCAAAGCCACTTGGTCCCACTTTGAGGGGCTTGAGGGCCCCTGACCCAGGAGGCGAGCAGCAGGTGGCGGGGTGGGGGGAGTGGGTGCCCAGGAAACTATAGCCAGGCCTGGGGTGGGTTTGGGGGCAGAGTCCCCCAGAGATAGAGCCTAGCAGAGGTCGAGCCTCCACCCATCCCGGGTTGAGGCCAGGCTACAGTGGGAGGGGCGGGGAGCTTGGGCCCCTTTCAGCCCCATCAACAGAGGCAGCACCTCTGGAGCGAGGGACAGGCAGGCTAGTCTCCTCTGGCCCAGCCGGGGACCCCAGCCCTGTTCACGGTCAGGGTCACAAACTTTTCCCCGAATCAAGCTACGGAGAAAATCTGCCGACGACGACAAACGCCCTGGCAGTGTCACCCTGAAGTCGCGGGAATGGGGTGGCCTTGCCCCAGGAGCAGTGGTGGAGTGTCCTGGTGCTGGGCTCCCTGACCTGACCCGCCCCTGCCTGGCGCGAGCTCCAGCTGCGGGGAGGGTCTGGGGAGGGGTGGCCAGGGCTCTGGGGTGTCCCCGCCACACCTTTGTTCCTATCCTCAGGGGAACGTGACGGGGTCCTGCATTCCTGATCCTGGCCACTGGCTGGACGTGGCCAATCCGCCCCCCGGCTGAGGCCGGTGCCTTTGGCTTTCAGGGAGCCTGGCCAGGCTGTCCCCACCCACAGCCACCTCCTTCAGGACGGCTGCCTCCTGGCTCAGGCAGTAGGCATCTTTTTTCTACAGATGTGGAAACTGAGGCCCCAGAGCAGGGGATGAATGAGCCCTTCCTTACAGGGCTTGGCGCTGGATCTAGGGGAGCCCCCCCGACACGGGCCAGGAGAGAAGACAGACGCCCTGCCCCTTACCGTAGCCGCTGGTGGGCAGCCCCAGGTGCTTCATGCGGTTCTTGACCAGCTCTGACAGCTCCTGCCGCTCTGAGCGCCGGTACAGGCTGAGCCGCTGTTGACTGATCCACTCCGCTGCCGCCTTCCCCGCACGCCGGGAGCCCTTGCGGCTCAGCCTCCGCGCCCACGGGAGGCTCTTGCGCCGCAGGAGCGGGTGCTCGGCTGGGTCGCCGCCCGCCGTGTGCCGGCCGTGGGTGCTGCCGCCGCCCGTGCCCGCCCGCGCGCCCCAGGGCTCCCGAGTGTCCTCACAGTCCTCCACGCTCACCGAGACCTGGGACTGGCAGGGAGGGGGGATGAGNGACCACACCACTCCCAACCCAGCCCCAGGTTGGGCTCGGGCACTCCCGTGGGCTTGAAGGGACCACTCACCTGGGCCCTGAGGTCGGGGGGCTGCAAAGGAAACCAGAGCCGCCTGGGTACCTGTGGGGCTCCTGCCCTGACCTGGGAGGCTGCCTGAGCCCCCATGGGCTCACAACTCGTGGGCAGGCCGCTGTCCGCGGTCCCGGCGGTGGCACGGGGGCCCCTCGGTGCTCTCCCCTCCCCCAAAGCCCCCCAAGGAACCACATGGGCGCCTGTGAACCTGACCCCAAAAGGGCCGGGATCCCCAGGTGCCCCGCCCCGCACCTCGGTGGAGAAGACGTGGCACTGGGTCCTGTAGATGCCGATGGGGATCTCGGCGCTGGAGGAGCACAGCTTCTGGAAGAGGCGGCCGTAGGTGCGGATCCACAGGTCGTCCTCCGAGATCTTCATCTGCAACGCAGAGCCTGGGCTGGGCCGGCCTCGGGCCGCAGAGCCAGCGCTCGACTCCCCTGCAGGGCTCGCCGGCCCGGCCCCGCCCTCCGCCGCAGGCCCCGCCCCTCTGTCCCGGCCCCGCCCCCGACCCAGTCCTCTCCGGCCCGGCCACAAGCCCCGCCCCCAGACGAGACCCCGCCCACCAACCCCGCCCCTCCGGTCCGCCCGCTCCCGCTCCCTAAGCCCCGCCGGCCCAGGCACTTACCGCACAGAGGTAGCCGGAGCCCGGCGTGGTGTCCAAGCCCAGCAGCAGCCTGGTGATGGGGATCATGTAGTCCTTCACGAAGGACTGGAGGAGAGGGGCCGCAGTGAGGCCGGCGTTGTAGGCAGTTCCACACCCCCGTGGCGGGACATGCCCGCTGGGCACCCACAGTGTCCCCTGCGCAGCGTGCCAGCAGACAGAGCCGCGCGGCCTTTCCTGGCCGTGGTAGCTCGCCTGTTCACGCGCCTTAGGTCAGAAGGGATCAGAAACCCAAAGGCTGCCAGGAGTGACCCTAGGCCAGCACCCTCCTGGGAGTAAAGGATGGTGACACTCATGGGTGAACCCCTGTGGCTCCCAGGCAGGGACGGGACCCAGAGCCACTCAGTTCCACTGGTCTCCTGGGGACCCAGGGTGGACGTTGCTCAGGACCGGACGTCGGCCAGGCCCCAGGCTGACCTGATACAGCAGTGTGTCCAGCATGCTGATGCTGAAGACGCGGCCGGCGGCGAAGGGCAGGCGGAACATGAAGGCCAGGTTGGAGCCATTCTCACGCTCCCTCTGCAAGACAGGGGAGCTCAGACAGGCTGGTGCCTGTGGCCAAGGCCGCATGGGGCAGGCAGCCCAGGGCATGCGTGAACAGGGTGTGTGTGCGTGTGCACACATGTGGGGTGAGTGTATGAACACAGGCCAGCAGATGCCCCCACACAGAGGCCAAGCACCCAGCTACATGTCCCCCAGACACAGGGGGCCAGAGCCAAGAGTAAGGACTCAGGGCTCTCCTGGTGAGAGCCAGGGGCCCGTGCTGGGGTTAATGCCTGGCCACTGCCACCCTGGGCCCTTGACACTCGTAGCAACTTGTCCTGGAGCTTGTGTGCTGTGAGATGGCGAGGACAGCAAGGCGTGCGTGTGAGCAGCAACGTGTGTATCACAGCTCCTGCCTCCCCTGTGAGCACGGCGTCGCGAGGCCCCACGTGGATTCCTTAGACCCGCAGCTCAGAACCACACGATTCCTCTCTCATGGTATCAGACTTCACAAGTCCAATCGGATATATGGGGCTAGAGTCAGGTGTCGCAGGGCTCCCGCCAGTGACCACCCCCTGCCCCCCAGGAGACTCCTTTCCTGTGCCTTTCCCATTTTCTAGAAGCCACCCACGGCCCTGGTCCCCTCCTTCACCTCCAGGGCTAGCAGGCTGACCTCTGGCCTCCCTCTTGCAAGGACCCTGGTGATGGCATGGGGCCCCAGGGCGAACCAGGGCCTCCTCCCTCTCAGCATCCTTCACAGAATTCATGTTCCCCACTCCGTGCTGGTTCTGGGACGCGGACTTTTTGGGCACGTGTCTCCACTGCATGAGGCCGGCCTACAGCTGAGGGGTGGCTCTGAGCCCAGGAAGTCGTCTTTCCCTCTGGACCAGAACACGCTCCACACAGACAGAAGGTGGGATGCAGGAGCCCTCCCGGGGCCTTCTCCTGGGGCTGCTTCCTGCTGTGGCAGCTTCCTCATGCAAACTCGGCTGGCGGCCGGCGGGGCAGACAAACACTGGGGCAGCAGGCCTCACCTCTGTCCCTCCCCACCAGCAGGGAGCCTGAGGGAGCGCTGGCACGTGAGTGTCCAAGAGGGAAACAGTCTGTCAGTTCTGAGCAGCATTTTGCTTTCCTGGAAAGAATGAATCCTGGACAAGCCCTGGAATCTGACCCGCGTGGCCTGCTGACTCCAGGCTGCACGCTCCTGCTGCATGCTATGAGGACAAACGGGGAGATTCCCAAGATCGTTAAAGCGGTCGGTTTCCCTTCACCCAGAACAGTGAATGGTTTGAGAAGAAAAGACCGAGAGGGGGTCCAGGGAGACCGTGGACAAAAGAAGGCTTGATGTTTCAGTGGTTTCCTGTTCTGTGGTGGCCACGGAGGGACCGAAGGCTGTAGTCCAAGCTCCGAGGTCACAGGCCACACCGAGACATGGGAACACACATGGATGAGCCCTTCTGAAAACCACGTGGCTGCAGGGAGCAGGGGCAGGACTGAACGGGCAGGCTGGGCCCTGGCTGACGTCACTGTCACAGGTGCTGAGGCTATTGAAATGATGATGCCACCAGGAACCTGAGTCTGGGGACGGGGTGGGGAGTGGGGTGGGCAGTGACCCAGCCTCTAGGAGACCTTCCTGAGAGCCTCCAGGGAGATGCAACCGCTGCCCTCCACGCCTTCCTGAATCCCCCCCGCCCTAGCGCCACTTCGATCTCGGGGAAGCATGTTCATCTGAATGCCAGAAGTGTTTCTGATGTTCCTGCAGCTTCCGCTCATGAAACAGGACTTGCCTCATCCGGGTTGTGCGTACAGCGTGATGCCACATTCCCACCCCGTCCTCTGTGGAATCTGCTGTGTGCATAGGTGAGGGGGGGCACTGGCTCCGACCATCTCTCCAGAGGGGGTGGATCGCGTGGCCCTGTGCCCCTCTGTCCTCAGCCCCCAGGCACTGCGCACGCCTGGCCCTGCCCAGCGTATCCATCAGCACGGCCTTCAACCCTGGGCTGCAGCCTCCCAAGGCCACACGTGCTCACTTGCTGACTTCTCTCCCCGTCACGAAACCACAGGACGAGGTGGGGAGTGGGCCGCCCCTGCCCCTCCCCCTGGAGGTGATGCTGCAGGGGAAGGTGGAAGGTGTGGTCGACTGGTGATGCCTGCCACAGAAGGCGGGAGTAGGGGGTGGATTTGTGGTGTCCGCCGTGGAAGGGCAGTGTCTGCTGATGGACCTACTTCAGGACCACTTGCTGAACAGGTGGGAGTGCAAGGCCTGTGGGGAACTGGTGGCAAGTGAGGACCAGCACCAGGATGTCAGCCTTGACCCCAGTTCTGTGCTGGTCATCCTGCCTGAACTGGGTCAGACTGGCCCGGGACCTGGACACAGTCCCAGCCGGGGCCGCTTCCGACACCCACAGTCCCAGCTTTGAGCAGACGGAGGATCAACACACGGGCTGCTAGGAAGTGGTTCTGAGTGGGCTCCAATGGGCTGTCATGTGGGGTGCAGGCCAAGCCTCCTCCAGGGGCAGGATGGCCAGAGTTCCCTGGCTGTTGACTGAGGCTTCTGGCTACCGACCAAGGGGCTCCGGGGCCACCATGGGCCTTCTGGCAAAATGCACTTCCGTTGTCCACCTGGGTTCTGGGTAGGTGGAGCTCCCGCACTGCCCCTCTCTGCTTTTGGGGCCAGGCCTGGCCTGGTGTGGGGTCAGCCACGCAGATGCAAGCTGCCCCCCAACAAGGACCTCAGTCCAGGCTCGCAGGGAATGGTCACTGCCCCCGACTTCATTGGCTGGATCTCCTCGGTAGTGGTCCACCTGCTTCCTGGTCTCACCCGGGTCCACCTGAGTGTGGCCTTGCCTCTCAGTGGAGGGCAGTGTTACACTGACCCAGACAGGGGGCTGGGGAGGGCCTGGGGTCCACAACATGCCAGGGTGGCACCACCAGACCATGGCGGGTCCCCATGCCCCCCGGGCCCACACCTGACCCTGCTGATCCCCTTCATGGAGCCGAGCAGAAAGCTGGTTCCAGCTCTGCCTCTGAGCCTCTGTGTGACCCGAGGTAAAGGCTCCCCTCTCTGATCTCACGCCCTCATCTGTACCGGGATGAACACATCCCTGCCTGTGGTTGATAGAACGGACACGGCTCAGATGTGGGTGTGCTGTCAGGGCTGGTGTCACCCGGGTGAGTACTTTCTGGTATAACAAGCAGCCTTGGCCACGCACAAGGCCGGACTGGACCTTGCCTTAGGAGGACGATCTCCCCTTTCGGCCGAGGACCCTAAAGTCTCTGGGCTGCACGCTCGAGAGCCTCACGATGGGGCTAGCACCCCGCTGGAGGAGGGCAGGCACCCACGCCCTCCAGGCCTGGTGCAGGCCCTCAGCTGGACAGAGTCAGAAGGGGCAGTTCACAGAGGGGCAGGTGGGGAAGGGGTGGTTCACGAGGGGCCACTCACCTTCTCCAGTTTGGAGAGAGCTAGAGAGTAGCTGTCCTTGGCGCGAAACTGCATGAAGCGCATGTTGGACGGGTGGGTGAGCTCGGTGGTGATGCTGAGACTGGGGAAGAGCCTGGGGGGGGATNCGTCCACCAGGCTCCGCCCCCAGCCCCATCCCCACACCGGCTCTGACCTGGGCAGAGCAGGGGCCCCAGGACCACGATGGCTTGGACCGGGGGTCCTTTAGAGGCCATCAGGGCTGCTCTTTATTGTCCCCGAGGAGAAGCCAAGTCCCCGGGAGGCAGGACAGCTGAGACCAGACCCTGTGGTCTGGGTCTGGCAGGCCTCTGCGGGTAGAGGTGCTCGGGGTGCGCCCTGGGGGAGGTTCATGGTCTTGGGGAGGACGAGGGAGCAGCACCAGAGTGTGGGAAGGGGCGGGCGGGGCGGGGCCGCTCCCCCCACCCGCCGAAGGTGGGGGCACCCGTGCCCTGCCCTCTGCCCCTCACTTGTTGTCCAGCAGCAGCACGATGGGGTTGAGCTCCCGGCGGGGCCGGTAGTAGGCGCGCAGCGGCACGATGAAGTTGTACAGCCCGTTGCCCGCCGTCTCCGCCGAGACGATGATCAGCTTGTTCTTGAAGCCGTAGGCCTTGGCGTCTTCGTAGCTGTTGTGCTTGCAGCCCTGGATGGGGAGAACGCTGGAATCAACCGTGGAGGGGAGGGAGGGTGTTCTAAGGAAGCCTGAGGCCAAATGGTACCTGGTATCACTGGGGCTACAGGCCAGCCACCCACCATACCCTGCAGGGCGTGAGCTGGGGCCCTGCGGGTGTGGAAGGGAGGTGTCTGTGTGAACTTGTGGCCTTAGCAGAAGCAGACACAGATGTGTCTGGGTGGACACATTTGTGTTTGTGCACATTTTGTCTTGTGTGTACACATTCTGTAGTGTGTGCGTGTGTGTGCACATTTCTTATGCATATAACATTCTCTCGTGTGTACACACATCTTGTACGTATACACATTCTCTCGTGTGTGTATACACATTTTATGTGTGCATGTTTTGTCACGTGTGTACATTTTGTAGTGTGTGCGTGTGTATACATGTGTATATACATACATTTTGTCATGTGTATACACATTCCATAGTGTGTGCATGTGCATACACATTTTGTGTGTACATGTTCTGCCATGTGTATAAATGTTCTGTAGTGTGTGCATGTGTACATGGTTTGTCATGTGTGTTCATTCTGTTGTGTGCATGTGTACATGTTTTGTGTGTGCACGTTTTGTCATATGTGTATACATTGTTGAGTGGTGTATACACATTTTATGTGTGTGCACGCATTTTGTCATGTGTGTACACATTCTGTCATGTGTGTGCCCACTTTCTAGCTCTCTGCAGAGAGGCCCAGATGCAGGACAGCAGTGAGCACCCCAAATCCCCATCTTGTTTCTAAATGTGGTCTCCACTAGCAGGAATCAGGTTTCTTGGAGCAGGAGCCAGTTCCAGGACTGGAATAGGAAGAAGAATGGGGAGCACCATTAGTTCGGAAGCAGACATCTTCACAGACCAGGAGACGTGTCGGAAAGACCTGGAGGCCTCATCAGCAAAACCAGGAATATCTGAGTGTCAAAACCAGCAGGATCCGCACAGAAAGCCGGCGTTGCAGTAATGCACAGCGGGTTTACTCTCTGAGTGAAACAGTGAGTCCATACTGATGTACACAATGGCTAAGAAAGAGGAAGAACCTCCTCACGGGGAAAAGTGCACAAAAACATGGAAGGAACTAGAACCTGCGATCCATCAACTGCAGAGGAAACGCATCAGGGGGTCGGTGATGAGCAGCTTATGTACCCGGTCCCCACGTGTCTCCCCACAGTGGTGTCCTGACTGCAAAGGTGAAGCTGTATTTCCTCCAGGGAGACCAGGTGTGGTCCCGAGCCACATGCTCTAAGGCAGCATTGCAGCGAGGCCTCCCAGATGATGTGGCACCTCTGGGGGGACCAGCCCCCGCCCCGTGCAAAGGCTGAGTTGCCCCCCTTCAGGGACGCTCCACCAGATCGATGACTGCGCTCCCCAAATACGGGAGAGACCCATGGGAAGTCCCAGGGGCAAGGAGCCTTGAGATGGAGGGAGGCAGGCATGACGGGCACGCAGAGGTGGGTCAGGACTGCCTCCAGCCAGAAGGGCAGCTGGACTGGGGGCTGAGGGTCTGACACACACATCCTGGTCCTGGTAAGTGGACTGTGGTCAGGAGAGGCACACCCTCGCCTCAGACACGCATGCGGATGCAGGAGGGAGGGAACGCGCCCCCTCCAACAGAAATGGACACGGGGGAGTGCGACTTGAGTCAGGATGTCCTCAGGGTCCCTGCTGCCTCCCCATCTTTGCTGTGACCTACCTTGTCCAGCCGCAGGCAGCAGAAGGGGGCTTTCACGGGCAGGAGGTGGCACAGAGTGGGGGAGCTGCCGATGTAGGGTGAGTTGGGGGGGTAGCCCTTCACATACCTGGAGGGGTGGGAGGCAGAAGCCTCAGACACGTGCCCAGCACCCTGGGTGGCCACACGGGGGCGCCAGGCATCGCAGACCAGACTGGGCTGGGGCACTCAGCGCCTCCCCACCGCTCCTCACGCCCAGGAAGCCCAGGACCCCTATATTCAATCCCTAGGCAAGGAGGGCTGTGATCGGGACCCATGTCTGTTCCCTGGAGATTGGAGGAGATTCCATGCAATGCACACACACACACACACACACACACACACACACGGGCTCACACAGGCCTGGGAGCCACAGAAGAGCCTTAAGGGGTGCTCCTACCCTGGTGTTCCAAGTACCCCGACGCCGGGGCAGATGCTGGCCCTCGGCCCCTGTTCTACTGGCGGCCAGGCTGGGCAGGTTGCCCCACAGGCTACCCCCCACCTTCTGGCTGTCCCCTCAGTGCCCAGTGTGGACATGTGGGGTGGTAGGCAGCCAGGCTACCTGGAGGGGGGCTGGCCTTCTGCTTGGCCCCCAGTTGGCTTAAGGGAGGCAGCGTCAGAGGCCAGTCTGCCGCCTGCTCCAATTGTGCAAGAGCCCTGCAGAGCCCCCTTCATCTTGGAGCCAGTCCCCAGAAGCCTGTCTTTAAAGTGTGTTGACTCCACCCCAGGGTCAGAGGCAGGAGCAGAGAGTGGCCACAGCACGCTGACAGCCAGCTGGGAGGGACGGGCCGTGCAGGCCTGTGACTGGCCTTGGCCCTGGGGTCAGGTGTTGCCTATCTGTTTGGGACGAGGCCAAGAGACTGAGACTCCAGGACACACTGGGGTCTTCTCCATCTCATAAGCTTAGAGGAAGATCTGGACTCAAACCCAGGGCAGCGTGACAGTTCAGCATGGGCCAGCAGTCTCCAGGCCTGCACGGCACCTCACCCAGGGCTCCGCAGACCGTGCTCAGATGCAGCCACCTCAGTCAAGTAGGCCGTGGTACTAAGGCCTGGCTGCCCGCCCAGAGTGCGAGGTGGAGGAGGATGAGGGGTGAGGGCCATACAACACAGCCTTCCTGCCCAGGAGCTGGGTCCCCAGATTCCACTTGCCAAGCAAGGTCTCTGCGGAAGCTGTTTGGAAGCCTGGTTCAGAGCGTGGATCCAGGACCAGTGCTGGCTGGCCACTTCTTCCTGGGTACCAGGCGCTCACATGCTGTGTCTGCCCCTCTCCCGTGGAAAGCGTCTGTCCTCCCCCAACCCCGAGACACTCACTCCACCACGGACAGCCCCTCTTCATCCGACGGCGTCATCTCATCCTCTGACTGGTCGCTCAGCAGGTCGCAAGGCAGCAGGGTCGAGCTGTCAGCCACCTCCAGCACGGGCGCAATGCTGGGCCTCCGGCTGCCCGAGCCGTTCTCCGTGGGGAGCGCCAGCTTGCTGCCCCCACCGCCCCCGCTGCTCTGTGCAGGCCGGCATTCCGTGTTCTGGAGGTCCATGGCCACTGTCCCTGGAACAGAGCGGCTGGACTTGGCTGGCAGCCCCTCCCGGGACTGTCCTGGGGGTGGGGGTTCCCTCCCAGTGCTGACAGTGATGTCCTCACAGGAAGGCAGGGATGGGCCTGCCCGACCGATGTGCAGACTGAGGCCCAGAGAGAGGGGGCTTGCCCAGGGTTAGTGCAGGCCTGAGGACCGGGGTCTCCGGGTGGGGCCCCTGCCCGCCTGCCCAGCCGGGAGCAGGCGCCCGGCCTCACCCATGGAGGCGATGATGCTGTGCACGGGCAGGCGGGACGAGCCCCCGAGCAGCGCCTGCCCCGCGAAGCCCTTCCTCTTCTGCCTTTCCTCCTGCTTGAAGATGAAGGCCGAGTTCTCCTCCTTGGTGATGTTGATGTAGAAGCAGGTGTCGGAGGCCGCCAGGATGTGCCGCGGGCCCGGGTTCAGCAGGATGCTCTTGTTGTCCTCGCGTTTCAAGCCCATGAGGCACACGCCGTACCTGGGTGGACGGACGGACGGGGGTGGAGGCCGGAGCTGCCCCTCTCGGGCTCCTCGTGGGGGTCGGGACCTCTTCCCGCTCGACACGAAGACCCACCGAGGGTCGCCTCAGAGAGAGGTGCGGGGCGCGTCTCACGCTGAGTGGGCGTGGCATCCGGCCCGAGGCCCCGCCCACCCACAGACGCCGGGCGAGCCCCCGCCCACTTCCGCCTCGAGCCCCGCCCAGCGCCCCTCCCTCCCGGGCTCGGACGGGGTGCAAGGGGCCGTACTTCTTGTGGGCGTGGAAGGCGGCGTAGGTGAAGCTCTTGCCCTCGTACTCGCGGAAGAACTTGCTGTCGCCCATGCGCACGTGGTAGACCTCGTTGCCCGAGCAGCGTCCGTACATGCGCTGCCACTGCTCTGGAGAGTCCTGGCCTTCCCTGGGGTGTGGTCAGGACGTCACCCCCACCGTTGCCCCGCCTGGCCTGGTCGCTTCCAGGCTTCCAGGGTGGGTGGAAGCCGACGTGACCCCTGACCCCACCCCTCCCCGACTGTGGGAGACTAGACCCGGGTGTGGCCTGATGGGTGCCTCGGCCAGTTTCAAAGAGCTGTGAACATAATGGTCTGGCTTTTAGGGGGCGTCAAAAGGTTTCAGAGTCAAGACGCGTCTCTGTGGCCTGTGGGTCCTCCGACATCTGCTTGGTCCCTCCCCGAGGGCCACCCAGACCCCACAAGGAGCCAAGGCCACCTGTTGGGGTGTCTTGCTAGAGAGAAGATGGCACCCCACCTCTGTCCCAGGGCAGCCCCTCACCTCCCGCTCTACCTGNGGCTCCCTCCAGCCCCACCTTCCCGAGCCTAACTCTCCTGGCTCTTCTCCAGGGCTGGGGTTGGGGGAGGGAGCTGGCAACACCTTTTGTCCCCCAGGTGTCCAGCATAGATCTGCTCACCTTAGAGGTGCTCATCAGACGGTGTTCCTGACCCTCCCCTGCCCTTGGCTCCTGCCCTCACTGACCCCCAGGCTCCCAGGTGCAGCATCTGCATGGGCTCTGCCTCAACCCCACCCCCAGCCCCAGCACGCTCCCCTTGGAGCACATGGGTGCCCCCCTCCTGACCAAACATACCTGCAAACTTGACATGAAACTTGTTCTCAGGTTTGAGGATCTGGACATAGAGAGGGCAGTTTGGGGCGAAGTCCTTCACGGCCCAGGCACGCAGGATGGTCTGGTGGTCCTGAGCAGGGAGGCCACGGTCACTGCTGAGGGCAGCCAGAGGCTGGGGTAGGGGCTCTGCCCTCTGGCTGGTGGGCAGGTGGGGGGCTGGTGGCCGGGGAGCACTCACCGCCGCGGTGCGGTCCACCTCGTTCCGGCTGCTGAGAATAAAGCAGGCCTCCCCGTTGTCCATCCTGCAAAGCACCAGGTCTGAGTAGCGCAGGACCGGCTGTCCCTGTCTGGGCTGTCAGGACCCCGTCTCACTCTGACTAGCCCAGGATGGGCTGAGGATGGGCCCCCACACACCCAGAGTGGGGCTGCGGCGTGGAAGGGGGGCGCACTTGGTGGCAGAGATGCTGGACCCCGCCTGCTGTCCTGTCCCCTCCTGGGACAGGCTGCCTGAGATCTGGGGATGGCCAGGTCTGCTCCCCTCATGCCCCGCCCCCAACCCCTGGCTGCAGAAAGGCCGCCTGAGAAATGGTCCACCTTCCCCAGGGCAGGGAGGCCTGGCGCCTCCCACCCCATCACCCTGCACCCCTACTTGTCCCTGTTGGGCCCTTGATTCCTGGGCTCAGGAGATGGGTGGATGGGGGCCCTGGCTACCCGGGCTCCTGCTGCCTTGGCCTCCATACAACCTACATTTCACCGTTTCACCACGAAGCTTACATCAGGCTCCATAATAAAATGGTGACGAATGGAGGGGGGGGGCCTCCTCCGGGAGTGGGGGGGCCCCCTCCCGGGTGTCTCAGAATGTGCTGCAGCAGATTCTGGAAAGTTCTGTTCACAACTCAGTCTCCTTACCTCAAGTCACCCTGTCACCTCATCTTGAGAAGAATATCCACCCACAGCCTCAGCTTCCCGCCCGAGGCACAGCTGTAGCAGCCCCCGCCTCGCCCCCAGACAAACAGCCAGGCAGGTGGGAGAGGAGCGGGTGGGCTTGCCCAGAAGGCTGTGCGGGGGTCAGTGAGGGGCCCGGCTGGCCTGGGCGGGCAGCAGGCACAAAGCTGGAGCTGCTGCCCGGCTGATGGCCCCTCCTGGCTGGCGTAGTGCTCAGGGCCGCCGCTTAGGCTGGCCGGCGCAGGACCGCACCCTCCCCGCAGCCGGGCTCTCACTTGGCCCGCATGAGGTCCTGATCCTTGAGTGCGGAGCCCTGGAGGTAGATGACCCGCTGGGACCACAGGGGGATCTGCAGGACCCTGCGAACCTGGATGTCCATCTCCGTGGGGCACAGGATGACGACGTAATAGTCCTGCAGGTAGGGCACCGTTAGCCCCCTGGCAAGCTCGCCGGCGCCCTGCCCATCCTGCCTTCCTACTGTTTTCACCTCCGTATAGCCTCTCGGGACCCCCAGTCTTCTCTGTGACGGCAGGAAGGAAACGCAGGACAGCACAGACCCACCCCCTACAATGTGGGAGACCATCCAGACTCCACCCCATAGGCAGGAAAACAGAGGCCCAGAGAGCTCAGGGGGTTCTGGGTCCGGATGGGGCTGTGGGCGGGACCATGGGCGGGGCCACAGCGCAGTCGTGGGTGGGACCGTGGGCGGGGCCTCGCCTGCAGCGCGGTGGGCCATGGGCGGGGCCTCACCTGCAACCGTGGATGCGCGTAGAACTCGTTCAGAAAGTCCATGAGCAGGTCGATCTTGAGGGAGCTCACGCACAGGATCACATGCTTCTCCGTCTGGGCCCGGTGGCGGCTGTAGTTGCCCCCCGACTTCTGCCGCTCCATCCACAGGTAGACGAGTTCCTCAAACTGCAGATAAACCGTGTGAGCGCCAGGTGACCTGGGGCTCCAGGAACTGCGACAGCATAGGGCAGGGCAAGAAGGCTGATAACCAGCCCGTGCTGGGCACGAAGGGTGGAGACCAGAGCAGGCCAGAGGAGGCAGGGTGAGGATGGAGCCCCGTCCTGACCATGTCTCAGAAGGCCTTGGATGTTTGTGGCACAAGTAACCCAAGGGGCCAGGTAGGAGTACAGTGGACGGTCTGGCTCGTGTATGGGGTAGCAGATTTGCAGCAGGTCCAGCTCCCGGCCTCAGATGGCCAACTGACCGTTAGTGGATGCTAAAGCATGTACTCTGGACATCCAGGTAACTACATGACCTGACCTTTGGGTCTCTGTCCATACCTGAGACACATTTGGAGAAACTTGGATGCGTCTTAGGGAATTCTCAGCCACAGAATTAGGGACCCAGACTCCCCATGTGAAAGGAACACTTTGAGTACCGTGGTTCTAAGCCCAAGTCAAGGTCGTGGGTGATTCGAGGCAGCAGCCTGCATCTACCCTGACCCAAACCTCCTGACAATGAGCTTTGGGTGTTGGCAACCCTATTTAAAAACAGTACAATGACAGAGACATAAAGGTGGGCAGGGTGAGTGAGGGAGATGCCAGGGCCCCGTGGAGCTGTCCGCGGTGCTGACCCACCCAGGGCCTCCCTCTGCGGTCTGATTCCATGTCTGTAGGTGACAGCCAGGTCCCACGAAAGTCTCTGACTGTTTTCATCCCAAGCACTGAGCTCATTTATTTTTCCCACATGATTTAAAATCAGTGCCAGCAGCCATCCCCACTCATGCTCACCTGCTCTCGTCGATGTATTATATCTAGATGGAGATCATCTCACCGCTTAGGCTGGCCGGCGCAGGACCGCACCCTCCCCGCAGCCGGGCTCTCACTTGGCCCGCATGAGGTCCTGATCCTTGAGTGCGGAGCCCTGGAGGTAGATGACCCGCTGGGACCACAGGGGGATCTGCAGGACCCTGCGAACCTGGATGTCCATCTCCGTGGGGCACAGGATGACGACGTAATAGTCCTGCAGGTAGGGCACCGTTAGCCCCCTGGCAAGCTCGCCGGCGCCCTGCCCATCCTGCCTTCCTACTGTTTTCACCTCCGTATAGCCTCTCGGGACCCCCAGTCTTCTCTGTGACGGCAGGAAGGAAACGCAGGACAGCACAGACCCACCCCCTACAATGTGGGAGACCATCCAGACTCCACCCCATAGGCAGGAAAACAGAGGCCCAGAGAGCTCAGGGGGTTCTGGGTCCGGATGGGGCTGTGGGCGGGACCATGGGCGGGGCCACAGCGCAGTCGTGGGTGGGACCGTGGGCGGGGCCTCGCCTGCAGCGCGGTGGGCCATGGGCGGGGCCTCACCTGCAACCGTGGATGCGCGTAGAACTCGTTCAGAAAGTCCATGAGCAGGTCGATCTTGAGGGAGCTCACGCACAGGATCACATGCTTCTCCGTCTGGGCCCGGTGGCGGCTGTAGTTGCCCCCCGACTTCTGCCGCTCCATCCACAGGTAGACGAGTTCCTCAAACTGCAGATAAACCGTGTGAGCGCCAGGTGACCTGGGGCTCCAGGAACTGCGACAGCATAGGGCAGGGCAAGAAGGCTGATAACCAGCCCGTGCTGGGCACGAAGGGTGGAGACCAGAGCAGGCCAGAGGAGGCAGGGTGAGGATGGAGCCCCGTCCTGACCATGTCTCAGAAGGCCTTGGATGTTTGTGGCACAAGTAACCCAAGGGGCCAGGTAGGAGTACAGTGGACGGTCTGGCTCGTGTATGGGGTAGCAGATTTGCAGCAGGTCCAGCTCCCGGCCTCAGATGGCCAACTGACCGTTAGTGGATGCTAAAGCATGTACTCTGGACATCCAGGTAACTACATGACCTGACCTTTGGGTCTCTGTCCATACCTGAGACACATTTGGAGAAACTTGGATGCGTCTTAGGGAATTCTCAGCCACAGAATTAGGGACCCAGACTCCCCATGTGAAAGGAACACTTTGAGTACCGTGGTTCTAAGCCCAAGTCAAGGTCGTGGGTGATTCGAGGCAGCAGCCTGCATCTACCCTGACCCAAACCTCCTGACAATGAGCTTTGGGTGTTGGCAACCCTATTTAAAAACAGTACAATGACAGAGACATAAAGGTGGGCAGGGTGAGTGAGGGAGATGCCAGGGCCCCGTGGAGCTGTCCGCGGTGCTGACCCACCCAGGGCCTCCCTCTGCGGTCTGATTCCATGTCTGTAGGTGACAGCCAGGTCCCACGAAAGTCTCTGACTGTTTTCATCCCAAGCACTGAGCTCATTTATTTTTCCCACATGATTTAAAATCAGTGCCAGCAGCCATCCCCACTCATGCTCACCTGCTCTGGTCGATGTATTATATCTAGATTGAGATCATCTCACTGAATTTATTGAGTACCTATTAGGTTCTACTAACAAGACCCTGTGGCCTTGAAGCACAGAACTGGGTCCTGCTGGGAGGGGCCAGAGACCCCAGGGTGATCCCTGAGACCTGTGCAGAGTTGGGGCTCCGACGGCAGACACTTGGGTTCCAGCCCCACGTGTCACAGGTGCACAGCTCATTTGCAAAATGGCCTGACAGTGCCTGCCTCTCAGGGCTGCAGTGAGGGGCAAAAGGCCTATTTGTAGAGGATCCAACAATGACCCCTGGAATCCTGTCCACCCAGAACCTCCGAATGTGACCTTATGTGGAAATAGGGTCTTTGCAGATGTAATGCATTAAGATGAGATCAAACAGAATTAGCGAAGTGAAAGTTGCTCAGTCACGTCTGACTCTGCGACCCCATTGACTATACAATCCATGGAATTCTCCAGGCCAGAATACTGGAGCAGGTAGCCTTTCCCTTCTCCCAACCCAGGATCTTTCCAACCCAGGAATTGAACTGGGGTCTCCTGCATTACAGGGGGAGTTTTGACCCTGAGGCACTGGAGAAGCCGGTAAGAGAGTAGATTCCTCTGGCTCAGGCCCCCGCCCTGCATGTGTGGGGTGCCTCGCTCCAACAGCCACAGGAAGCGCCACACGACAACTCAGCCCCGAGTGGGGAGGATGCTGTCGGCTGTTGTCACTGTTACTCTGGGAGGGACATTTACCGGTGGCCGTTTTCACTGTCATCATCTCTAAGGACACTAACTGGTGAACGTGGTTTAAGGGAGAATGAAGGACAGGGGCTTCCCTGGCAATCCAGTGGCTAAGACTCCAAGCTCCCAGTGCAGTGGGGCCTGGGTTTGATCCCTGGTCAGGGAATTAGATCGCGCATGCCACAACTAAAGATCCTGCATGTCACAGTGAAGATTGAAGAACCCACGTGTTGTAACTAAGACCCGGTGCCTCCAAATAAAGAAATAGTAAAAAAAGAAAAAAAAGAAGAATGCCGAATGGTAGCTGGGACCATCCTTTTCATCACTGATAGAGGGTGACACTGGCTTTCCTGGCCGGCATACTGTGCCCTGGATTGGGGGAAGTGGGGAACAGAGGGTGTCAGCTGGGGCTGGGGTTCTGAGCTATAGAGTGGGGGTGGGAATGGGGGTGAGGAGTTGAGCTCAAGGTCAGCAGAGGACTCCCTGGGTGGACTGGGCCCCATTATAGCCACAGTTAGGTGTCTCCCCTGCCGCCATCCCTCCAACCCCCAAGTGTCCACCATGAGGTCTGGCACCCCACAGTCTGTCCTGATCCTTCCCTGAACCTTTTCCTGCCCCCTTAAAGGCTGCAGGGGGCAGTGCCTACAGCTGCCTGGCCCCGACTCTGGGCCTCTACCTTTTATCTAAACACAGCTGGAGTCCCGCACTGCCCCCACA